GGAGAGGGAGAGGGGGAGGGAGAGGGGGAGGGAGGCAGGAGAGCCCAAGAAATGCGGTGGGGAGGGGAGAAGAAAGACAACCCAAAATTTTGCACATTATCTTTAAATTATTTATAACAGACCAGCTGCTGCATCATTCAGTCTGTGACAAGAGGCTGTGTTGAAGAGTTGAGCCAGATGAATCCACTGAATTGACCTTCTAAGAAAGTACATATAGTTGAACTCATCCCTCTGCCAGCTATCTGGTCAAAATGTAAAATCCGCATTATATCCACTCTTGTATGGCAAAGTAAACGTGCTTATGACTCTTGTGAGTTGGCCGTCCCATTCTGCTCATGTGGGCCGTGAACAGTGACCTAAGAGGCGGTATTCTTGCTGAGATGGGTAATATGAAGTCACGTTACTGGTTTCTGAGGGACTCTTGCTCTGTAAGAGAATGTACCTCTCAACAGAACTCGTCTCCCAATCACACACAATGTCCCTGATGGACTGGTGGTGAAACTGCCGCAGGTATCAGCAAATGAAGTGAGACAGTGGCCACGTGTCAAACTTACAAGAGCACCAAAACAGTTTCAGGGACCTCTGTGCACCAGACAGCAGACCCAGGGGACACAAGCTGAATGACATTTGTGAGCAGGGTATATATCAGGTTACTCAAATCCTATTAAACTGAGATCACTATGTAGAAAGAGGCAAGCAGGCTGAAACTGTCCGCCTAAATTGAGGAAGCTTATTGAAATCAGCAGGTGATGCAAACTGTGGAACCTATGAACAGTAATCCAGTCCTGGACGCATCACAGCCACAGTCACAGGTGAGGAGAGTGTACAACCACCAAGAGTCATTTCTTCCCGATCCAGCTCTAAAGACGTCATACACAATATATCTTCAGGAAACCAACAGAGAATAACCCCCCATCCTATTTTTTCTTGGATTTACAAATTCAGGATGACAAAATATTGGATGTGGGCAGCAATGAGTGTTATCTTTTTAGAGCTGGAGCTGAATTTGGAGGATAAGGATAAAGGAGGTTGTTAATGACAGCTAACCAAAAATCTTCCCTGGATACATTTTCCAGATAGAGCTACAATTCCAAGTATGCGGCCCCTGTACACTGCAAAACCCTGTGGAGGCGTACGAAGTATGCATCACCTGTAGGGTAATTCTACTTGTACCATGCATTCATTGGATACTTTATTCCCTAGCACAGGAGTTGGGGAGCAGACAAAGGAGGAAGGTACACAGCATCCATGGACAGTGGGAAGCAAATGTCACCTTGAGAGAAAAGAAAGCAGGGGAGGGAGATATGGGACGCCAACTGGGAAGGCTGGGAATCCCCTTGCCTCTTTCACAAGCCGGACTCAGGCTACCCTTGGACCCAGTGAGCCAAAGAACTGTAGCAGTCAGGAGAGTGCTTTAGACAGTCTCATTCTGCCAGCTCACTAAGACTGACAATGTAGGGGAACTAATGTCAAGTCTCCTACTCTGCTCACCTGGTGGAGTGTATCATCCTGCCCTTAAAAAACAACAACAACAACAACTCATTTTTTGCTGTTACTCATGCTGACTAAATCTGTCACCAGCCCGCTCTTACTATTTTGACTCACCATGTTCTCTTTTCATCAGAAGGACAGAACTACCCTTGTCTTTTTTTTTTTTTTTTCAGTATGCGGGCCTCTCACTGTTGTGGCCTCTCCCGTTGCGGAGCACAGGCTCCGGACGCGCAGGCTCAGCGGCCATGGCTCACGGGCCCAGCCGCTCCGTCCCCTGCATCGGCAGGCGGACTCTCAACCACTGCGCCACCAGGGAAGCCCTACCCTTGTCTTTTGCTTGTTTACTTTCGTTCCTATTTTACGTCTGCAGAGTAGAGAGATTAAAATCATTTGCCTCTTTATTTACCACAGTAATATTATAGGTAATAGGGTGATTTTGAAAAAAAAATCAAAACTTACAAAAATCAGAAGAGCCTGTAGAAAAACTAAACTGAATGTTAAGAGGTTTTTGGTCTATTTTGTCTTCTAAAATGGGAAGAAGGGGCAGGGAGGACAAGTTGGCTTTTAAAATATAAAAATATAATTAAACAAACAAGTTTTAGATGAGTAGAACCAAGAAATTACCTTGATTCGAACGGCAGCTCCAGGTATCCTTAAGAGGCCTTCTGTTTCTAAACCTCCCTCTTCAATGCGAGAAATCAGCTGTGTATAAACAGAAGAACGTTCTGAGTTTGGCATTCTTAACAGGTACAATCCCAAATTTAACATCTATTTCATATATAAATAAAGGAAAACTGATTACAGTGACGTGTAAACTGGATTTCACAAAGTTTTGAATGCTATTGCACTACCACTACCCATCCTTTAAGCCAATGCATCCCAACACTTTAGTCGTAATTTAGAAAAAGTTGGGTCCTTTGGAAGAAAAGTGTATAATTTCACACAACAGCTGTGCTATCCCAAACAGACACTGACCCACGTTCATGTTTCAAAGCAACTAAGACCATGTATTTCTTCTTCTTTTTCAGAAACACACGTTCTGCAATCAAATAAATCTTATGAAATTCTAGTATTTGCATATTTACACCCCTTTTTTAGTTTGTTCAAAGAAAGAATTATTTATGACATGAAGGAAAAAACTCCTTGCAAATATTCCTTTTTAGGCTTTAAGCTTTTGGTGGTAAACTTAAATTAAAAAAACTGTTCTTGTATAGGGCTTCTAAATCATAGCCAATGCCTGATGAATACATACAGATCTCTCTATCTCCAGAACCCCATTAAAATAACAAAGGTTGTTTGCTTGTTTGTTTTAAAATAAAGCAGAAACACACAAGAAGAGGCAAATGGAGAAACTACAATGACATAACACTGGACGCCAGGAAGATAATAAAAGAAGTGATCATTTTCTTGGCAGACTTCCAACTGGAATGTTGGAATTCCCTGGGCAGTACACAAAGGCTTTTTAGGGGTCATTCTGCTATTTTAAAGAAGTCAATTTCTTTGTCCTCAGTTTAAATATAGCATTTCCTAGCATCATATAGGTTTTCCTTCCTACCACCCATTCCCCTCCTTTCACAATTGCCTTCTTCAGAAAGACAAATCTACTATTCACTCAGCCCCAAACTTACTATAATACTCTCTGCATATTGTAAGGCACAAGATCTTCCAGAGTGCCAAAATAAGATAAAATTTTAATTTTTTTTTTTTTTTCAGGGAAACCTCATTTAATGATTTACCAACGCTCTTAGAGCACGTAGGCACTGGAAGACAGGGCAATTTTTCTTTAATGACCCCACCTCTTCTATTCCTGGATTATGGCCAAAGAATGCACTGATCTTGAGGGAGTCAGGTAAGAATAAAGCAAAGAGTAGTCTCAAAATTCTCCCAAAGATTTATTATTAACTGAAAAAAGAAGCATCTTTGACTAAAGCAGTACACGATTTTAAAATATTCAAATTGGAATGATTTCTAAGACATTTCTCAAGTTACACTGGATAAAAACCCACAGCAAAAATCTTTACATGAATTATTTTAGATTAGATGAGCATTATTTAATAAAGTATTTAAAACCAAATTTATCAAAAAACACCAAGCAACATTTATTCAATGTACATGTAATTTTTGTTCTATTTCATCTTATAAAATGTTTAAAATGTTCTATTAACAAAAAATAAAATTGTATGCTAGCTAGTAGCTGGACCTAATTAGTTTTTAGCAGTATATGAATTTTGCTTTTATTAAATACACAGGAAAATTTGATGATTTCTAAATAACTGAATGAGAGTAATTTCTGCATTCTTATATTTGAATTCTTTTTATTATTCTCTAATGCTGAATACCAGCATTTTATATATATATATATATATATATATATATATATATATATATATATATATATATACACACACACACACACACACACACACACACATACACATTGTCTGAAGGAATGCCAGGTGTTTTCTCATATTTCTCACTTTGAAAATAACATATTTTTTGCTACCACATTATACTGCCATTGGTAAAATATAATGCTTTACAGCTTTCCTTTTATTTTCAAGACTTAAAAATGGAGAATAACTATAATGATCTATATATTTTAATCATGCTGCTTTTAGTAATTTATCTTATAAGATACAGTGTAAAATTTATCAGTAATGTTCATAGGCTTTCCCCAAATAGATAATACATACTTATATGAATTTATGAACTAATGAATTGAATATGAAGTCAGACTTTTTTGATACAAAGTATCTTTGATTTGGCTGATTAGTTTGATGGTGAAAATAGGATTTGCTAATTTGGCAGAATTTTGCCATAGATAAAAATTAAGAATATTTCTATTTCCCCAACCCTTTCTGAGAATATGGTTTAAACAATGTGCCTCTAAGTAGGGAAAAAAAGAAACAGATACAATTTACAGATATTAGATAAGCTTTGCTAAAGCCCTTTTGAGGTACAGTTCTCAATAACGGAGAAAATGTAATCCTCTAAAGAATGGTAATATGAATTTTTGCAAATCAGTGGTTTCCAATTCTTTCCTTTCTACAAAATTAACGGAATACCTAAATGAGTTGTCAGCTGATAAATCAAAAAATATTTTTCATGATAAATCACTGATTTTTTTGCTTACAATTCAGAGGGAATGCAAACAGATGAGTGTTATCTAATAGACAACTCTGTATGTTCTCTTTTATTTTTTATATGAACCAAAAATCTTTAAGGCTCTTATCCAATGACTTCAAACTGGTGGGCAGTCTGAGTCTCCAGAATGTTGAAGCGACCAAAAATGTAAAATAACTGACTAACTAAACAAATAAATACAAAAACAATTTCAAGAGAAAATGATAAGGGGCTGGATGCAATCCTGGGCCTGATCAGGAGGCAACAATGACTTCTGTTAAGACCAAAGCTTACTCTTTGCTGATGTGATAGTGAATCTGATGTGTCAACTTGGCTGGGCTACAGTGCCCGCTTGTCAAATACCAGTCAAACACCAGTCTAGGTGTTGCTGTGAAGGTATTTTTAGATGTGATTAACATTTAATCAGTAGACTTTGAGTAAAGCAAACTACTTTCTATAACGTGGGTGGGCCTCACCCAGTCAGCTGAAGGCTGTAAGAACACAGACTGAGGTTCCCCAAAGTAGAAGCAATTCTGCCTCAAGACTGTAACACAGAAACCCTACAGGAGTTTCCAGGCTGCAGGTTCTGGACTCGACACTGAAACATTAACCCCTGCCCGTGTTTCCAGCCTGCTGGTCTGCTTTACATAATTCAGACTTGCCAGGTCCCACAACTACAGAACTCCATTCTTTAAGATAAATCTCTCTAGATAGATAGATAGATAGATAGACAGACAGACAGAGATAAAATCTCCTATTGGTTCTGTTTCTCTGGAGAACCCAAATACACTTGGAAAGGATCCCACTGAGATCCCCGCTTTGTCCATGTGTATAAGTAACTCGCACCTTTTACTGCCATTAAAAGAATTTGAATATATGGCCTACGTTTGTTAGCATCTCTCTGTTTTCACAGACACCGCTGACAACTGTCCACACAGACACAGGTTCTGCAGGCAATGACCGGCAGAAGCCGGTGAGCAGAACAAGCTATGTAGAACAAAAAGTCCATCAGGAGAAACACTGAGACACAGGTTTGGACGTAATGGTGAATAGGAGGACTGAAGAAGTCAGAGCTTAGTAGGTAAGACAGTAAATGACTGTCTTGGAATAATGGAAGAATCAGTGCCAGGTAGACTGAGCTTGAGTATTGAATGAGTTTGTTGAGTCAAACAACTGTGAAAGTTCCCACTGCCATTCTTGCTACCCCAGAACTTTCAGGAACTGTGAGATGTCTGGGCTGTTGCAAAAATCCGCATCTTGGGTAGCCCATAACTGATTTGACCTACCTTCCTCATGGGCATTCTCTGTCTTTTATCAAAGTAATCTGTGTTTCTAAACAGTGATGGCTCAGAGGTTAGACTGAAGTTTTTATATTGTCATAGATAACTGTCTTATGAATAACTGAGTGTTGACTACACAAGTGAATTCATAGTTTAGCAATCATTTTCTAATTCTACTTTATGGTTTCTTTGTCTACTTTCGAAGTAGGCACTAGTAAATTAAATTGGACATCCTCATTGTAAATAGGAAAGCTTAGAAAATACATACAGGTGTGAAATATTCATGAGGATTCAATTCCCTAGAAATTTACCAGCAGTTCCCACTCCTATGTATTATAGAACTGAAATCTCAATTATACAAAGCCAGCTAATATAAGACAGAAAAATGATGCCAGGTAATCACAGTTACAAGTAGTAACACTGAAACCATCACCATGAAATAAAAATTAGAAGCCCTTGGAACAAATTTGTTTCCTGAATAGAAAAATCAAAGTATAAAATAAAAGAGCATATCAACTGGAAAACTATATTATAATAGTATGAATGCAAAAAGAACAAAAACAAAACACTATTAGCTCAAGTATGTTCTCTCTATGCTGACCCATCCAGGCCTACTTACTTTTTGAAATATCAAGGGTATTCGAGTTCCTGGTACTTTCTTCTGATCTTGTTCTAACAGCACTGTCAATGGAACACAAAAAAGGCCAGAATCTGCAACAGAAAAATAAAATTTCTTCACTTTCATCAACCTATAAAATATTAATGCAAAAATGTTAAGGCTTCAGATTCCCAATATTGTCACTCGATCCAACAACTATTTATTGAGCACCTAAGTGAATGACTGAGTGACACTGTCTACCAATTAGGTGAACACAGCCTAACTGGCAAATTCTGGCCCTGCCTTATAAAGCAATCTAGCAAGTAAAGACAACTAAACAAATGATTACAAATCATCACCAAAATAATTAGAAAAGTATAAACTGTTACATATGAGAAATAGAGTGCTGTGGGAGTATGCAAAATATGCAAATAATTTACTAAATGTAATCAAATTAAAAGTTCTGGCTTAAAACAAATATCACTCATCTCTTCCATACTTAACTGACATTCAACATTCTATTGAATACAATACAGCAGAATATAAATGTTTGCTTTTTGAGAAAAATCAGCCAACATTATGGGCTTGTTCTACGAATGTTTTCCTCTAGAAAATATAGGATATACTTGGTCTTTGTGAATTTAAATTTGTAGTTTTATATATTTGGGAATAACTCCAGAAGAAATGACAGGTAATAATTTATAATTTTTCTAAATTAAAATTATATACCTTCAGTCTGATGTGAGCATAACTTCTCCCCAGAACCTCCTACCCCACACCCATCACTGAGTGAATAGTTAGCTCAGAAGTGTAACACACATTATCAGGGGAGATATAAATCATCTGTGAACACGGAACGGGGGATTATCCTGTGATGTGAAAACAGACATTGGAAACTGTGACACTCAAGAGAGATGACGTTCAGCAGAATGCTAGTAACCCAGTAAATAACTTTTAGTTTAGGAACTAAGAAAAATGTGATCTTTAAGAATGTCAAAAGTCTAGTTTATAAGATGTCTTAGATAAAATACAAAAATATAAAAAAGATGGAAAGAAAATCTATTATATTAATAGTGATACTTTTAATGAGAATGGCTTAATATTTCTCTCTCTGCTAGGAGGCAATTCTAAAACATAAAATTAAAAGACCTCTTTAAGCCACTTTTAAAGTCTTGAACACTGAGTCACACTATTTATATTTCTATTTTGTATCTGGAAAAGACTTTGTGATGAGCTTCTGAAAAAGCATCTGAAGTCTTCATTATCTACAATGGACTTGTGGAAAACCAGAACTATTTGACTCAGAAATTCACCATCCCAAGCCTTAAGCTAAAATACTCAAAGGAACAGAACACAGAATGAGGTCTTCTGGGGCCCAGCATGGGAGAGAGGACCTGAAGGGAAGGTACACTTCAATCCTACAGAGAAATCGCCTCTAAAACTTAAATCAGGTGAATACTTGTCTTTGCTATTGTTACCATAGCAACTCAATAATCCCCATTCTCGGTTTCTCTTTAAGAGATACCTTTAAAGTTAAATAAGATGTCAGAGATTCCTAAACAGAAAAGCTTTGTCAGTAGAAAATTATCTGGATTTCCAGACAAATAAAATCTTGGAGAAATCAGAAACTGAGGAGGTGACTGTTCTCTATCATACTATAAAAAATAAAGTCTATTTATATAATGGGTAAAGCAAGCTGCTTACAAAGGAAAAAAAACTACACATACCTGTGAGAAGCACAATTTAGTGATATTGTGTGCCACAGTCGCATTATTTTCTTAATAGAGGGAAGAATATTTTTTGCAGAATAGTTAAAAGTAGAATGCAAATGAACAAAGGGACAGACTACTAACTGCCTATGTATTTGCCATCAAATAAATAAGCAAAAGTAATTGATCAGGATTAACCATCTTAAAGTCATTTTTCAAGATCCAGTTTTAGAAATAAGTAAGTATATGTACCAGATGTTTTTAAATACTGTTTTCAAAGGAGGGAGCATTTGAGTTAAGAATCCTTGATTCAGAATTTCCTTCTAATTTCCTTCTATGATAATTAAATATTTGATTATGTCTTTATTTTCTATAATCAAGGAGGCAGTGCATTTTTATCAAGTTACAAAAATTCTGAAGGGAATGTTTTCGAATCTGCACTTTAGATGTATTCGTGTGTTGGTTTATTTTGTAGGCGTTTCCCACTCCCCAGAAGAATACTTCTAAAAAGTCAAGCTCATTCTTACTACTTCAGGAGTAAATCCAACTGTTTTTCATTTCAAAATTACCTTTTGTTTTGATTTTCACAGCTTTTAGTTGTTTCAGTTCAACACCCAATACATCATAGAGGGCGGTCAGCTCAATTAAGGCTAAATGGCAAACTTTCTTCATGTCCTGGGGCGCCAGGTCACCAATCTTGGTGGTGCCTGTTTTGTCTTTTGGCAATCTGAAACTCTAAAATAAATGCCATTAATATAGGAAGGATTTACAGTATCTAACCCGTTTTTTAATGAAACACAACAAAACTGTAACTATAGAAAGAAGTTATTCTCAGAGTGCTGACAATGAAATTGGCAGAATTTCTGCAGTCAGAATGAAGAACAATCCTGTTGTAATGATGATCCCAAACCTGCAGGGAGTCAATATGTGAAGTCTGACAGGCAACGAACCAGACCGTGTTCTAGGAGTGTGAATACCAGCAGCCAAGAGAACAAGACAATAAAAACCGAAGGAGAAAAAAAAAAAAAACTCGAGTTAACTGACCTTTAAGAGCCAAGAAAGATTAGAAGTCAAGACAAACCATGAGGAGGAGGACGGAGAGGAGGTGGGAGATGAGAGAGCAGGAGCAACCACTGGTGTGTGCCAGGTACCCTTTACATACATTATTATTCACTGTTATATACGTAATACATGGCATTATATATACAATATTATATATGCAGATATATGATATATATAGTAATACTGTCATAAAAATCCAAATAAGGCAGGTACCGAAGAAGGGCTGTATAGCACTGGGGAGAGGGGGAAAGCAGAGAGGAGACTAAAAGCAGGACTTTAGAGCCAGGGTGCCCACCGGTCATCTAGCTACTGCCTAGCTGTGTGTGACTTCTGGCAACTCTTTAACCATCCTTTCCGTAAAATGGGAGGAAGAAAGGGGGAGCGGGCTGGGGGGAGGGGAGGAGAAAGGGAGAAGGGAAGGGGGAAAGAGGAAGGGGAGGGAAAGGCAAGAGCGGAAGAGGGGAAGGAAGGGGGAGGGGGAGGGGGAGGGGGAGGGGGAAGGCCACCTAATTCAGAGGGCTGTTGTGAGGTTTAAATGCCTGGCACTTCCCAAACACTTTTATGTGGTTGCTACTACTATTACTTTCACCACTGAATAAATAAACTGAGACTTAGATATACCACTATCACGGGCAAATAAGTGGTGTTTTTGTTATTTTGTGCCTTTCTCAAGTATTATCTACTACCTATCCAGCCTCTTTTAATTTTAAATATATTAAAATAAGAAAAAAAACAAAATAAGAGCATGAATTTCTCTAACGTATTTACTACAAATGACAGCCCCATTGTATTTACCAATTACTAAAACAACGATCATTGTCTAACAGGTTGATAAAAATCTTATTATGAAGGTTATATCTCTTGGGTTTGCCCTTGATTTCCTAATTTAATGGCCAAGAATATTCAACTGATTCCCTTTTATTCCCTTTACTTTGCTCGTTTTTGTGCCATATCATTAACACTTCATAGTCTAAAAACTATTGCAAAAGACGTGTCCTAAAGTAGCAGTTCTCAGGGTGTGCTCCAGGGAGCCAGAGAGGTGCCCAACACTTTTTTCAAGGAGTCAAACAGGTCAACACTATTTTAATAATTAATACTAAGACATTATTTGCCTTTTTCATTCTCATTCTCTCATGATGCACAGTGGAGTTTTCCAGAGCTTTTACAAGACATGTTATTGCCAACAGACTGAACGCAGAAGTAGATATGAGAATCCAACTAACGCCAACTCAAGCCAGACATTAGAGAGTTGCTAAAATGAAAAACCATGGCACACTTCTTAATAATTTGTTTTAGAAAATATGCCTATTTTGCATAGAAATGTTATTTATGTTCACCATAATACTAATATATTTTAAATGGGTTAATAGTTTAAAATTTTTTCAATTTTAATTTCTAATATGGTAAATATCCATGGGTATAACTGACATAAAGAAAAGCTCTCCCCCCCCTCACATACACAGTATTTTAAATTATTTATCAAGAGAAACTTTTCCTTAGCCTACTTATTCACGTTTCATAGCTCAGGAACACAGGTCAGTGACCAACTTCCATGCAACTCAATCCAAAGAAATTCTTTACATTCCAAAATCACTTTGTACCAGCCTTCTTCGTCTCCTCAAAATCTTCCATGGCATCATAGCTTCCGTAGAAATCCGTGTATGCCTTCTTTCTTGGGTCAACCAGAGCAAACACAGAGAGCTGCAGTCCCCAGGGAGACAGCGAATGCGCCAACAGTATGAAATCACAGATTCTTGGCCAGAAGGCCATGTGTCTGAGGTTTCATCAGAGCACTGGAAGCTGTGGTAGTTATTCTCCTCAACACCAACATCCTTCCTGACTGATAAGAGAAAAGCTTTTTGAGGTCCTCAATAATTTTTAAGAGCCTAAAGGGGTTATAGGGCCATAACATTTGAGAGTCACTGTCCTAGAGCATTTCCTAAAACCTACAACTTTGGGCAGTTGAGCAGCTAATTCCTTTCAAGCAAACTCAGCTCCAAGAGAGAATCTTCTAAAGTTCTCCACAGAACTTCCTACAGAATCTTCTTTGGAATCTGCTATAGTCTCAAGAGAGTCCACTATAGGAGAAACGAAATCTTTCTTAACTTTTTGTAATACATTTTTCCCTATGAGAATATTAAAAGAACAGCAGTAGATATCGTTAATATGCTGCCAAAGTGAATTTCCAGCAAAATTTCCAGCATTAATGGTACAGTGCATAGGGGCTGAGAATGAGAACATGCAGCCAGATATCACAGTTTTGACTTTTAACTATTACTGCAAGGTAAGACAAAAATAATACTCATCTTTGATAAATGGTTTGTCATTCTATTCTGCAAAAGTTCCAACAGGATAAAAATTATTACAGCATATTCTAGGTTGGGAAACTGAGGTTCTTTAAGAGACTAAAAATGCTCACATAGCCAGTGATATAAGAAGGCAAATTCAGACCTTCTAAATCCTAAATTGAGTGGCCATTCTGCTCTGCTCCATTTTCCCTGCCCCCCCACAGCAGGCAGGGAGGAATCTAGGTTGATCAGTGTTGATGTAGGACTGTGAACCCCGCAAGGACAGGAACCATGTCTTAATCACCTCTGTATCCCTGCTATACCACAGCCCTGACACACTGCGGGTGTTCTGTCCCAGTGTATTCAATGAATGAAGACACACACCAGACAGGGAGAAAAGCACAGAATCAAGCTCAGTGAGGTACAGGGTTACTGGCTTGGTGCTCCCCCAATTTTTTGTGATTTGTACTGAGTTTCACTTTTAAAATTACACAAAACTCTTCCCATTTTTTTCTCGCCTGGCCCCAGAGTTCTGCTAATTGTTTTGTTTTCTGAAGGGCTGAACCAATCCCATTTACCAACCATTTATTAATTTTAAAAAAGCCCTAAATGTTTCATTAAAATCAGTTGCTTTTGTTGTAATAAACCAAATACATGTAATATAATTATTTAAAGCATTACCCAAAGTAAATGTGTAAAGAAACCTGAAATATTATTAGTTCAAACATTGGATTTACCTAGCAATATGTTATGAGCTTTATTTAGTTATTTATTTAACATTGTGCTTAACGAAAGGAGTTAGTTCTTTATCCCAATGTTTAATTCATAGCAGCAGCTTTAAATATTTATGAAGTTTCACGTCGTTTTTGTTTAGTTAATAGACTGGATGGTTCAGTTCATTGGCTAAGAGAAGGCAATGCGATTTCAGCAAAAGAAAAGCTCCTTCACCTTTTGAAAAGTGTGCTTTACAAAAGGAATGAAATAAAATTTTTCAAAAAATATAAGGTCCTTGGCTCCCATGCATTACCATAAATTAATCAGGCAGCTCACCCAGGCTGCACCCCTCTTCTGTAGGCCTTGAGGTATGAGGGGCCCGTTAGACACTTTATCAGTAATGACGGACTAGACTTTTTCACTCATCAAGTCACTCTAGCTTCAATTCAGAAAGCAAGAGAATCTACTCTTACTTGGTCAATTTCCACAGATGACTTCTTATCATCTGCTAGGAAATTCATTTCTTATCTAAGATTCTTCCATGTGTAAAAATGTGATTTTATTACAGTGTTTCAGTCATTGTCATCCTAGGGAATGAATACTTTTCTAGATAAGTGAAGTTTTAGAAAACTTCAAATTCACAGTTTTTAAATTTTCTTTATTTTTTTAAATGGAGAGCAATAATCATAATTTAAACTTCTCATGACAATTCTGGATCATGATCCTACACACCTATTTTTGCACTGTGTACAAATGTGTGTCTGCCTTAGGTTTTCAGTCTCCTCACCCTGTCCCGAACTAACATTTCTTTTACTGTCCTTCTGCTTCCTCCAGAGATGTTCCATTTTCTAACAAACTCCCAACTTGAGCCTCCATGCAAGTTTTTAGCCTTCAGTATGCACTGAGCTTTGTTACCAGACAACCAAAGTTGCCATAAAACATGAATTTACTTGAATTAAACATAATTCAGTAAGAATCCAAAAGACACTAAATAAAGACTTAAGAAAATATAGGCATGCATCTAGAACACAGGCTTCACCACAGTTATCATTTCAAAGCTATGATCTTAAAAATTGCTGAATAAAGCCTTACAGTTTTTAGTCTCCCAAGATAGGATAAAGGAGTGAGTGCTATTAAATTTCTATTGTATATGAAGGACTCAAGAAACCAGAATCTTATTTGTATAACATCCCAAGCTATCCTGAAGAAGCTGTCAGTAGCACCAAGAGAAGGACACTTAAACTCACAACTAAATTAAATGCACATATACCTTGCGGGCACGCGTCATCATGATCTTCCAGAAAAACTCCAGCTTCAAAAGCTTAGTCACTGAAGCCAAGCCTTAGCATGCCATGTAATCTCTCTAACCTGTTTTTCTGTATGAAAAAGAATCATAATATCTACCTCATAGAGATCATTTGATAAATGAACAAAATAATTACAGAGCATACTTTCTAACATATCATGGGTACACAAAAAACAATAAGTAACAGCTAAATTTTCATCTTAACACACATGAAAGGTTATAAAACCTGATCTCCAAATTTAAGAGAAGAAATTTGAATCTGCTGTGAGAGATCATAAGGAATTAACAAAGATTGCTCAATGCCATAAGAAAAAGGAAGTGAATGTAAAATGAGGTCAACAGAGAACAATGTATTACATAAAGCC